CCCCCCCCCCACCTTTCCTCTGAAGAGCCAGGAGACCTGGATTCTTGACCTGGAGTTGCCATTTGCTAACCTTGGAATCTCAAGAAAATTTCTCTGAGCCACAGTATCTGCATCTATAAAAAAAATGAAAATGGCTATTTTCTTTTTTTCTTTCTCTTTTTTTCTCTTTCTTCCTTTCTTTCCTTTCTTCTTTTCTCTTTCTTTCTCTCTCTCTTTCTTTCTCTCTCTTCTTTCCTCCTTTTTGTTGGTCATGGGGCTTGAACTCTGGACCTGGGCACTGTCCCCCTCAGCTCTTCAGCTCAAGGCAAGCACTCTACTAGTTGAGCCACAGCACCACTTCCAGTTTTTTTGCTGGTTTATTAGAGATCAGTGTCTCACAGAGTTTTCTGCCCAGGATGGTTTTGAACTGTGATCCTCAGATCTCAGCCTCCTGAGTAGCTAGGATTACAGGTGTGAGTCACCAGAGCCTGGCTTTTCTTTCTTTCTTTTCCTTTTTTCTTTCTTTCTTTCTTTCTTTCTTTCTTTCTTTCTTTCTTTCCTTCCTTCCTTCCTTTCTTTCTTCCTCTTTCTTTCTTTCTTTCTTTTCTGTCTCTTCCTTTATTCCTTTTTTTTTCTTTTTTCTGTTCTGTTCTCGCTCTTCTTTTCTCTTTGTGGTACTAATGGTTAAACCAAGAGTCTTATGCCTGGTAGATAAGCACAGTGCCACTAAGCTACATCCTCAGCCCCATAAACCTTTTCTCTTTTCCTTCCTTTTTTCTTCCTTCACTCTCCCTTCATATTGTTTTCCTCTAATACTAGTGTTCAGATTCAGGGCCTCATGCTTGCTCTGCTTTGCTTGATTAACTGGTACTCTACCACTTGAGCCATGCCTCCAGCTTGGCTTTTTGCTGGTTAATTTTGGAATTGGAGTCTTTGGATTTTTATGCCTAAAATGACTTCATCCTTATTCTCCCTGTCTCAGCCTCTTGGATACCTAGGATTACAGGTGTGAGTTAGCAACAAACAAGCTTGTTTGTTTCAGCAGCACCAGAGCTTTAAACTCAGGACTTTACTCTTGCTGACTTTCTTGCTCACAACTTGTACTCTAATGTTTGAACCACACTTCCAGCTTGGCTTTTTGACAGTTAATTGGAGATAGAATCACAGATTTTTCTGCCTAGGCTAGCTTTGACCTGAGATGCTCCAGGGTTCAGCTTTTTGAGTAGATCAGATTATAGGCATGAGCCATTGGTGCCCAGCTCTTTTTTACTTATGTTACAGGGTCTCACAAACCAAAGACAGGTTGGCTATGGAGCCCAGGCTGGCCTCGAACGCAATCCTCTTGTCTCTGCTTCTCATATGTTAGGAAGTTATAGGCATACCTTATAAGATCTGGCCCTAGATCACTTTTATAAGCATGACTTAATATTAATGTATGTTAGAGTGCTTTAATAAATACTTTCATTTTGAAAGGTAACATTGAAGAATGTTTTTTCTAATATGTGGGAACCTATGCAATGGTCCTCTTTTATTCTTAATTATGTAAGTATTTGTATAAAGGAGTTACAATTAACAAAGCAGTTTATTAGTACAGTATATGTTGGTTAGTGTCACCCTTTTCAACATTCTCACCCATCCCTCCACTCCCCACCCCTTCTCTCATGCTTCCTAATTTTGTAGGGTGTACAGTGGTTTCTTGACTGCCTCGTCCCCCTTCTCCTCTTCATTTTTCCACCTCTTTCCCTTGACCACACCCCCACCCACTTCCTGGTGTTTTATTTTGTTGACTTTTTTCTTTTTTTTGCCAATCCTGGGGCTTGAGCTCAGGGTCTGGGCACTGTCCTGAGCTTCTCAAGGCTAGTACTCTACCACTTGAGCCACAGTACCATTTCTGGCTTTTTCTGTTTATGTGATACTGAGCACTTGAACCCAGGGCTTCATGCATGCTAGGCAAGCATTCTACCACTAAGCCACATTCCAGCCCATTTTGTTACTTTTGACTTTATTTTGCTAAGGAATTATACTATTTGAAGTCTCATTTGAATCTACCATATTTCAGTTAATACATTTGTATACAATTATATGCCCCCCAATGTATTTACTTATAAGTTTATAAACAAAACCTAGCTTCCACATATAAGGGAAAACATGCATCCTTTGCTCTCTGGAGCTCTCTGGAGCATAATTTTTTCCAAATCTTTTCATTCCCCTCCCCCCTCTTCAGTCCTGGGGTTTAAACTCAGGGCCTGGCGCTGTCCCTGAGCTCTTTCTGCTCAAGGCTAGTGCTCTATCACTTGAGCCACAGCGCCACTTCCATAAGAGTCTCATGGGGACTTTCCTGCCCAGGCTGGCTTTGAACTGCGATCCTCAGATCTCAGCCTCCTGAGTAGCTAGGATTACAGGCGTGAGCCACCAGCACCGGGCTCAAGTCTTTTCCATTTCTTTACCAGTGGTTCAATATTATTCTTTCTCATGGATGAGTAAAATTCCATTGTGTGTGTGCATGTGTGCGTGTGTGTGTAATACACACATACACCACATTTTCTTGATCCATTCATCTACTGAGGGACATCTGGACTGTTTCTATACCTTGGCTATTGTGAATAATGATGCAGCAAAATATAGTTGTGCTGGTGGCTTTACTGTATCCTACTTTGTCATCTTTTGGGTAAATGTCCAGGAGTAGAATTGCTGGGTCCTAGGATAGTTCTGTTTAATTTTTTTGAGGTGCCTCCACATTGCTTTCCAGAGTGGTTGAACAAGTTTACATTCCCACCAATTGTGTATAAGGGTTCCCTTTTGGTTGCATCCTGGCCAACATCTGGTTTTTTTCTTCTGTTGTTTTGCTTTGCATTTTCTTTATGACCACAGATGCTGAGCACTTATTCATATGTCTATTAGCCATTTTCACGTCTTCTGAGAAGACTCTCTTTAGCTCATTAGGCCATTTATTAATTAGGTTGTTGGTTTTTGTTTTTTGTTGGTTTTTTTTTTTTTTTTTTTTGTCCTGTCGTGGGGCCTGAACTCTGGGCCTGGGCACTGTCCCTCAGCTCTTCAGCTTAAGGCTAGCATTCTACCACTTGAGCCACAGCACCACTTCCAGCCTTTTCTGCTTATGTGGTGCTGAGGGATCGAACCCAGGGCCTCATGCATGCAAGGCAAGCGCTCTACCACTGAGCCACCTTCCCTGCCTGTGTTGGGTTTTTTTGAGGATTTGATTTTTTAAGTTCTCTGTATGTTCTGGATGTTAGGTCATTATCTGATATGTAGCTGGAAATATCTCCCATTTTGTAGGCTGTCTGTTTAGCCTGTTGGCTATGTCCTTGGCCTTGCAGAAGATTTTTAGTTTGATACAATCCCATTTATCAAGACCTTCTTTGATTTGCTGTTTCTGGATCTTTTTTCAGAAAGTTTCTGTGCCAGGAGCCCTACTCTTTCTTCTAATACTTCCATGGTTTCAGGTCTTTCTTTGATCCTTTTTTTTTTCCTTTGGTAGTGGGGCTTGAACTCTGGGCCTGGACGCTGTCCCTGTGCTCTTCAGCTGGAGGCGAGCACTCTACTGCTTGAGCCACAGCGCCACTTCCGGTTTTCTAGTAGTTTATTGGAGGTGGTATCATAGACTTTCCTGTTGGGCTGGCTTTGAACCATGATCCTCAGAGCTCAGCCTCCTGAATAGCTAGGATTATAGATGTGAGCCAACAGTGCCGAGAGATACATTTTTCATAAATAAGAAACTACTTTCACTTTCCTGTATGTGAATATCCAGTCTTGCCTGCACCATTTGTTGACTTTTAGGGGGAGAGGGTACAGTACTGTGGCTTGAACTAAGGGCCTTGCCAGTGTTTCTTAACTATTTTGCTCATGATTGGTACTTTACCACTTGAGCCATACCTCTACTTCTGGCTTATTACTGATTAATCAGAGATGAGTGTCTCTTGGATTTGGTTGCCTGGGCTGGCTTCAGACCTCATTCCTCAGATCTTTAGCTAGGATTTCAGGCATGAACCACCAGCAACTAGCTTGATCCCCTTAAGAATGGCACTTGATAAGTGGATGCTAAATCCAAAATGTCAGGTGATATGACAAAACTAACAGGACTTAAGAAACAAAGAACTCCCACTCATCTGGTTGAACCACTACTAAATATCCCCATGCTGCTGATCACATATATGGTATATAACATGTGAGCACCGTTATATATTACAGACTGTGATAGACAATTTGCTCCAGGAAAGTTAGAATGAACTTGTGACTTTAAATGAGCATCATTATTCCACAATACTGTGAATTTCCGGAAATTATGTAATCACTTAATCACAATCAAAAAAAAAAAAAAAAAGAACCTGGGGAAGGGAGGGAGGGAGGGGATGGTAGGGGGAAAACAATGGAGGGGGTAACAATGTTCAAGAGGAAGTGTACTCATTACCTCACTCATGTAACTGTAACCCTCTGTATAGTACCTTTACAATAATAAAAAAAAAAGAATGGCACTTGAGATGTGTTTGTCAGGTAACCAAGGAAAATCAAAGTATGGGATGGAATGTGTCCATCTCATAATTGCATAGAAGCATCTGTGTAAAGCAGTCAATACTTTTGGTGGTAAGCAGTCTAGTTGGATTGGGTTACTTACAACCAAGAGTGTGTGAGTCTATTCTAGTTAGATTGGGTTAGCTTCAAACAAAGTAGTAAAAGTGTTAGAAGAAAATGAGAGACGTTATCTTAAGACCCTAAGACAAGGGATGCACTTTGGGCTTTGGGTTAGTCTATAGTCTGAGTCTAAGAAGGCTCAAACATTTAAGGGCATTAGGTCTGTGTACCTCAGTGACTTTCCTCTTTCCTGACTAATTTGTCTGCTTCTCAGGCTACTTGGTGAAATATACCCACATGAGCTGAATATGTCACAGAGATTGAATTGACTCTCAATCTTTGTTCCGTTCCAGATTCTTCTGATTAGAAATCTACTTCTGAGGGGCTGGGAAGGTGGCTCAGTGGTAGAGCACTTGCCTTGTAAGCCTGAGGCCCTGGGTTCGATTCCTCAGCACCACATAAGAAAAAAGAAAAAAAGCCGGAAGTGGCACTGTGGCTCAAGTGGTAGAGCGCTAGCCTTGAACTGAAGAGCTGAGGGACAGTGTTCAGGCCCAGAGTTCAGGCCCCACAACCGGACCCAAAAAAAAAAACTACTTCTGAATCAGCCATCTGTGTCTGGGAGAGTAGGGTACAGGACTGACTGCTCAAGTCCATTGATCTGGAAGGTAGAGCAGATCAGCCAGTAAGTGTACATCATGTTCCTTTTGGAGGTGGAATGGTGGTTAGTGACAGACTATAGATTTTGCGCAGTTTGCCCTGGATAAAGTGATCCTTTTGTGTACTACCTGTTAATTTCACGTTAGTGTGATCCCTGAGACGGTGTAGAGTACCCACAGTTTATCATTGCAGTTTTCTCATGATTTTTTTTTTTTTTGCCAGTCCTGGAGCTTGAACTCACGACCTGGGCACTATCCCTGAGCTTCTTTTGTTCAAGTTTAGCACTCTGCCACTTGAGCAACAGTGCCCACTTCCAGATTTTTCTGTTTATGTGGTACTGAGGAATCGAACCCAGGGCTACATGCATGCAAGGCAAGCACTCTACCACTGAGCCACCTTCCAAGCCTTCTAGATACTTTTATGCCCCGTTAGGATCAAACTCAATTCACTGAGAGGCTGTAACAAATTCCATCTTTAATCTCTTCCTTCTATTTCCTAGTCACTGGTTTCTGTTTTGCCACCGGCCTTTGTCTGTGAGAGGTGGTTAGGTAAATAGATGAAGCAGCCAAGAATGTTTATCCTAATGGGACAATACAGAAGTGACAACCCTGCGAAAATCAAATGAGTTAAGATGATAGGCAACATCACAGATTCATTGCCAGCTACTGTGCTGACCCAACCCCTCTCCTACCCCAGTTCTAAGTTCCTGGGATTGTTTTTCTTTTTTTCTTTTTCTGGGGGATCCAGTCGTGGGGCCTGAACTCTGGGCCTGGGCACTGTCCCTCAGCTCTTCAGCTCAAGGCTAGTGCCCTACCACTTGAGCCACAGCACCACTTCTGGCTTTTTTCTTTTTGCTTATGTGGTGCTAAGGAATCGAACCCAGGCCTCAGGCATGCAAGGCAAATGCTCTACCACTGAGCCACCTTTCCAGCCCAGGCCTGGATTTCTTAAAGATAGACATTTCTAGCCAAATAAGTATAGAAATTTTGACTTTGGAAATAAGTGACAGATTCAGTCTATCTAATGAGTTCAATGAGTCTCAACCAGATTCATCTTTGTAGCCATGCTGTGCCAACATCCTCTACCCATTCAGACTGCACTAGTTCAAAAAAAATTGGTGTTTAAAACCTTATTTAGCCAGGCACCAGTCGCTCACACCTGTAATCCTAGCTACTCAGGAGGCTGAGATTTGAGGATCCCAGTTCAAAGCCAGCCTGGGCAGGAAAGTCCATGAGACTCTTTATCTCCAGAAAACTGGAAGTGGCGCTGTGGCTCAAGTGGTAGAACGCTAGCCTTGAACTGAAGAGCTGAGGGACAGCACCCAGGCCCAGAATTCAAGCCACATGACCAACCAAAATAAATAAATAAAATAAAACCTTATTTATTGAAGGGCTGGGACTGTGGTTTAGTGGTAGAGTGCTTGCCTAGCATGTGTGAAGCCCTGGGTTTGATTCCTCAATACCACATAAACAAGAAAAAGTCAGAAGTGGTGCTGTGGCTCAAGTGGTAGAGTACTAGCCTTGAGCAAAAAAGCTGCTCAGGGCCAGTGGCCAGGCCCTGAATTCAAGCCCCAGGACTGGAAAAAAAAAAAAAAAAACATCTACTTTATTGAAGAGTAAACATCAGAACCAGAAGTAGGATTCAAAATCAGATAGCCCAGCCTAGCACTGGTGGTCAGACCTGTAAGCCTAACTATTCAGAAGGCCAGCCAGGGAAGTCTGAGAGACTCATATTTCCAATAACCCAGCCAAATACTGGACTGGAGGTATAGCTCAGTTGGTAGGGCAACAGTCATGAGCAAAAGGCTGAGCCAAGAGCATGAGGCCCTAAATTTAAGCCTTGGTACTACCCATTCCTACCACTTGAGGAAAAGAGAGAGAAAGAGAAAGGGAGAGAAAGAAAAGAAGAAAGAAAAAAAGGAAGGAAGGAAATAAAAAAGAAAAAAAGAATTATCATTTATCAAGCAACTCCCTGTTACCATGAGGTGACTTATTTCTCTTCCTGCTTTCCTATGGTTATTACAGAGCCTGAAGCTTTCTTTCAGTCCCATTCTGTTGGGGGACATACACTATTAGTATTCTTGATCTAGAATTGGCCATATATATCGGAGACTGCCCCTGTTTCAAGCATCTTTAGGAAGTGGCTTCTGCAGTTATTCCCCAGAGCTCTGAGCTCCTATGAGAAACACTGAAGTCTTCATTTCATGTCACCTCCCCAGATTGCTAGTTAGTGGGATGGACTTGGGCAACATCTCTGCAAAGATGTTACGGTTAATTTAGAGACAGAAATGCACTATTTACAGTTTATATTATTTTATATTTTGTATTTGTCTTTTTACATGTTCCTAAAAGAAAGGAAGAGAGCTAAGTAGGTAACAGGGTCTCCTCATGCTTTTCACTCTTTTCACACCTGCGTAATGGGGCCAGCCTGAGAAGCTTTCTTGGTTCCTCTCCTGACTGAAGCGGGGAAGCTGGAGCTTGGGCAGCCCAGGCCCCGCACCCTCGGTTTCAGCTGAGGTCACTAAGCAATTTGGGAATGGCTGTAGCCTGCTCACGAGAAATGTACTCCTGCCCTTTTCAGAGGCAGCCATTTCCTGCTGTTGCCATTTACCTAAAGCCTGACCTTATCTCTGCATCTTGCAGCATTTCGGTCCTGGATTACCCTTGCTGTACCATCCAGGATTTGCCGGAGCTTACTACTGAGAGTCTGGTAAGCAGATGGGGATTTAGTAGCCTTTGAAACTGCCAGGTGGCAGAGACTGGCATTTGCTTTTTCATTTCTTCCTCAGCCTCATGATGCTGGGGTTTGGAGTCTCAGATCAATGCAGGCATATTGGCAAGAGCACAGAGGCAGGAGGGATTTAGAGCTGTTGACCCACTTGAGAAAGATTTGGAAAAGCTGAGCTTAGCATCTTGCAGAGAAGAGGAAAGAGCCAGTGAAAAGCACTGAGGAGGAGAATTTAGAAAGGTAATGTGAGCAGCTACGGTAAATGACAGGAAAAGCTATTCTAATGTAGCACCCAAAAAAAAAAAAACAAATCTATCTATCTATCTATCTATATATATCTGTCCTCTTTATGTTGTGCTCCAGTGATTCACTTTTCTTTTCTTTTCTTTTCTTTTGGGTCCGGTCGTGGGTCTGAACTCTGGGCCTGGGCGCTGTCCTCAGCTCTTCAGCTCAGGGCTAGCGCTCTACCACTTGAGCCACAGCGCCACTTCTGGCTTTTTTCTTTTTGCTTATGTGGTGCTGAGGAATCGAACTCAGGGCCTCAGGCATGCAAGGCAAGCGCTCTACCACTGAGCCACCTTCCCAGCCCCTCACTTTTCATTTTCATTTTAGTTAAACAACTCAGGAGAATGTTCTTTAGAAAATACCTTCCCTCTTTGAAGTGAAAGTCAATATAGCCACTGAAGGAAGCCCAAAAAGATCCTCAATCTGAAAATCACTCTAAGCAAATCAGAAGAGTTCCTCAGAGTTATTTTGAATTCCTAAAACTGACCCAAAGCATATTGAAGATGAGAGGCAGTCTACCACAGCCCTTTCAATACACTTCACACCTTCATCCTCTTGTTTTGTGATCATTTACCTGGAATGTTGTGATTGACTACAAACTCTGATGGGAATATACTAGAATCTATTCTTCTTGGTGGTAGTGATGCTGGGGTGTGAATTGAGGGCTTCATGTTTATTTGGCTGCTTGCTTGGCTGGCAGTCCACCACTTGAGCCCATATCATGCCTCCAGCCTGGCTTCTTGTTAGTTATATAGAGGTTACTTTTTGCATGGGCTAGCCTCCCAACTCATATCCTCCAGGTCTCAGCCTCCTGAATAGCTAGAATTACAACACACATGAGCTAGTGGTGCTCAGTTCTCATCATTTTTATATATCCAGAGGCTAACACTACGCCTGGTACATTGAAAACCTTAATAAATACAAGATGTTTCAATGGTAGTACTCATGCATGCTACAACCTTAATACCATAACTTTTTTTTCTGGTCATGGGGCTTGAACTCAGGGCCTGTGAGCTGTCCCTGAGCTCTTTTGCTCAAGGCACACTCCTGTAACCTTAGCTACTCAGTAGGCTGAAATCTGAGAATCACAGTTTGAAGCCAGCCCAGGGAAGAAAAGTCCTCATAAGACTCTTATCTCCAATTAACTACTCCAAAAAAAAAAAATGAAGTAGCACTGTGGTTCAAATAGTAGAGTGCTAGCCTTGAGGGGAAAAAAAAAAAGGCTCAGAGACAGGTCCCTGAGTTCTCAAGTACCAGGACCAACACCCTCACACAAAGACCTGGGTCCTGAGTCCAGTGCTAGCACACTGTGCTACTGGGGCAGATTCCCCATTTTATTTAGATTGGTTTTGGCAGCCAAATGCACTGGATGCTTTTTTCTTTTACAAAGAAATAAATTAACCTTGATTATTTGCATAATGGTATGTCTTCAAAACAACCCTCCAAGGTTGATATTACTATTTTATAGATGGAGGAGATGAGTAACTGCCAAGACCTTGCAGTTGAAAGTAGCTACGTCAAGATGGAGATGTGCATCTCTGTGATTTAGAGTTAAAATGGATAATATATTTTACACAATAGCATTAAAATTCTAGTAGAGTATTTTAGAAAATAAAGTCAGCTTTTATATCCTGAATCTATTACCTGACAATGAGTATGCTCTATATTTCAACCCCACTGATTCATATATAGGAATTGATGGAAACTATACTCTTGCATCTCACTTAACTGAACTTTTGGGATCTGAGCATTATTGAAATGGCTATTATACCTCCTGAGAAGAATTTATTATCAAGTGTGGATGAAGGGGACCCATGGCTCACACCTGTAATCCTAGCTACTCAGGAGGCTTGAGATCTAAGGATCGTGGTTTTCTGTCTGCCCAGGCAGAAAAGTCCATGAGAGTCTTATCTCAATAAAAACTACTCTGAAAAATCTGGAAGTGGTGCTGTGGATCAAGTGGTAGATTGAGCACAAAGAGGATTTAGGACAGACACAGGCTGTGAGTTAAGTCCCAGGACCAGGAAAAGAAAAAAAGAGTGAGTGAAGCCAGGTGCTGGGGGCTCCAGCTAATAATCCTAGCTACTCAAGAGGCTCAGATAGGAAGATCAGTTTGAAGCTGTCCCACCAGAAAAATCCCTGAGATTCTTATCTCCAATTAACTGCGATAAAAGGAAGGAAGAAGAGCTATGGCCCAAGTGGTAGAGCACCAACCTGGAGTGAAAAGGCTATGGTACAGCCCCCAGGCCCTGAGTTCAAGCCCCACTATTGGCACCAAGAAAAAAAAAGTGAAAATATCAATCTACTTAATGCCTATAATCCTAGTTACTCTGGGGAATGAAAGTTGGAGGATCACAGATTGAGGCTAATCTTGGCTGAAAATAACTAGCAAGAAAGTGGGACTGAAGCTGTGGCTTAAGGTAAAATATAGGGCTCTGGAGTTCAAACACCAGTATCTTCAGGAGGGGAAAAATTAGAAACAGTTAAGGCAGGTGTTTTACTCCTTTCTGTGAAGCAATAGTGGCACCTGGCGGTTTTATTTAGTAACCACAGGTCGGGATTTTTTTCCTGAACTTGTTCCCAAGTCCAGTCATGAGTGTCAAAAACTAACTAGCACATTTACTATCCATAGGTCCTCAATATAATGGTTAACTTACCAAAACTGTTTATTTCTGTACTCAGAAAGAAGCTAACATTTGTGAGAATAATTATTTTACAAGTTCAACAAATTGTGATCACAGAAAAAAAATACTGGCTGCCTAAGTCTACTTGAATTACTTTAAATAACATTTCAAACTGTTCCTGATTATATGCTTATTGTAAAACAAACTGAGAAATAGAAAAGCATGAGGAAGAAAATTTAAAATACCCCACATTACCTACATGTAGCATGTTTTTTGGTTTTCTGAATTTGAACTAAATTTAATTCATTTTTATTTAGAACTCCAGCTGCACAGCACAGTGACCTGAAATAAAAGCAAAGTAAATGGTTTATTAAATTTCTGAGTTCTTGCCACTTTATCCAAGGGGTAATCTTTAGAATAGGCCATCCTCACCCCTCCATAGATGAGCAGTTTCAAGTTGCTGGACCTCCAATGACTATATTCAAATACAATCCCCTAAGATGGCACAAACATCAAACTCGCAGCTGTGATAAAAAAAAAATTTTGTAAAAGCTGAGTGACACTGAAAGAAATGAACAATGAACTGTCTTGGAATTCAGTGGAGATCAGGCACGTACACGGTTGGAGCACCTACGCTTCCCTCACGCTGCAAGCTCCTTCCTTCTGCTCTCTAGACTCAGGTGTTTTGTTTTGGTTTTTCTTTCCCAATGGATGACAGAATTGGGCTCCTTAACTCCCTTCTAGTGCTGTTTTTGTTTGGTTTTAGAAACAAGCTCTTGCTATGTAACAGCCTGGTCTGGCTTGGAACTCAACCATCTTCCTGCCTCAGCTTCCCAGCGCTGCACTTACGGGGACCTGACACTGTTTTAGCTAGTTCCGTCATTTTGTCCTTAAAAAAGAAAAAAGTACCCTATGAGTAAATATCTAATATCAGTATCTAATCTGATAGGCATCTCTTCTCTGGTTAGGTGTTCACACCCTATCAGGATCAAATACCTGCCAGGTACAACTTGAAGGAGGAAAGATGTATTTTGACTCCATTTTAGAGGTGTCCGTCTACCTCCATAGTTCACATCATGGCATCCAGAACGCAGAGAAAGGAAACACTCACTGCCAGGACAAGATAACAGCCCCTCAAGAATGCATTCTTAATCACCTACTTCCTTCAACCCGGCCCCACTTGCTACCTTTCACCATTCCACTAACACCATTATGTTAGGAATCCATCAATAGTTTAAGCTATCCATTCATTAGGTCAGAGCCCTCATAATAGAATCTCTGAAACTTCATTACAGACAAACCCAGAGGTGTGCTTTGTCAGGTTGGCCATAAAGATTAACCATCACAACCACGGTGCCTGGCAGCCATTCTTGAAAAATGTAGTTGCTAGGCACTGGTAGTTCAGTCCTGTAATCCTAGCTACTCAGGAGGCTGAGATCTGAGGATCATGGTTACAAGCCAGCCTAGGCAGGAAAGTCTATAAGACGTAACTCCAATTAACCACCAGAAAAAGGGGTAAGTGCTGCCTTGAGCGAAAATGCTCAGATAGCACACAGCCCTGTGTTAAAGCCCTATGACTAGGGGGAAAAAGCAACTGGTAGAAAGCAGCTGGAGGTCTTGATTTTGCTAGGGCAAGAAGAAAATGATCATGTTCTACTATTCACGAAATATATCTTTCTTAAAATAAAGATGGCCTACTTTAAATGAACATAAAGGAAATTAAAAAAAAAAAAACATCTAGCTGGCACATCTGAGAAGGTGGAGCCTGCCCTGCAGAGCTGTGGGCCTGCTGGGAAATGATTATCTGTTAAGACAGAGGCTGAAGTGCTGCTCTACTGCCTATTACTGTGGGCATAGGAGTTGGAGGCAGGCTGGGCTGGGCTGGGCTCAGAAAGCCACTGAGCAGTGTGTATCCTTCAGTGTCTGCTCCAGGTAGGCTCTGATGAGGGGAAAGGGGAGCAGAGGTCTTGAGCAGCTGAGATTGTCTAAAAGAAGGGAACCTGGAGTTCCTTCCTGTGAGTTCTGAGGAAAAGGCAATCACAATCAGCTTATTGTCCATCAAATTTCACTTATACTTCACTTGATTGCTGACTAATCTTTTCTTTTCACGGAAGTTAGAAACAGTGTTTACATCTCTTTGTACCACATTCTAAATGATACAAGTCTGATATTATTTGTTTCAGCATTGCTTATAATAATGAAAGGTTAGAAACAACCTAAAAGCCCATTAACATAGACCCAAATAAAGGATGATATGCCCTTATAATGAAATATTATGTAACAATTAAGAATGTGGCAATTTCTTTTCAATTGAAGTCCAAATAAATCAAATTATAGAATGGAGTTGAAGAGATTCCTCCCTCCTTCCCCCCTGCCCCTGCAGAGTGCTAGGGATTGACTGCAGTCTGGTTCATGCTAGTAGGTGCTCTACCTCCAAGCTACCTCCCCAGCCTTCTGAAGAGATCTTAAAGATCATCTAGTTTGCTGGGCGCTGGTGACTCATACCTGGACGGGCCTCCTAGCTATTCAGAAGGCTGAGATGTAATGTGAAGATCCCCTCTGGAAGCCAGCCTGGGGCTGGAAAGTCAGTGAGAATCTTATCTCTGTTAAACTACAGTGACAAAACCGGAAGTCCTGCTGTAGCTCTAGTGGTAGACTGTTTGCCTTGAGCAAAAAAGCTCAAGGACAGAGCCCAGGCTTACAGCTGAATCCCCAGGTCTGGCAAAAAAAAAAAAAAGATCTAGATGCAAAAGGGAAATGACTTGCCTAAGATCACATCAGGGCTGAAACTATAAAGCAGGACTGATACCCATTCCGGTACTTTTTTTTCAATGTGCTTGAACTCAGGGCCTGTGCTCTGTCCCTGAGCCTCTTTGCGAGTCTCACAGACTTTTCTGCCCCGGCTTCAAACCACAATCCTCAGATCTCAGCTTCCTGAGTAGTTAGGATTACAGGTATGAGCCACCATTCTCTGAAGTCCTGAGGAATGCAAGGCTTTTCATGCCTCTAAGATAATGAAAATCAAGATCAAATCTCCCAGTGATATTCCCTGTCCCATATGTTTCATACTTCCCATAACCAACCAAAAAAAAAACAAAATTTAGGGCTGGGAAGGTGGTTCAGTGGTAGAGTGCTTGTCTTGCATGCATGAGGCCCTGGATTCCATTCCAAAACCAGAAGTGGCACTGTGGCTCAAGTGGTAGAGCTCTAGCCTTGAGCTGAACAGCTGAGGGACAGCGCCCAGACCCAGAGTTCAGGTCCCATGAACGACCCCCCCAAAAAAAAATTTAAGTCTATGCCAGGCACCAATGATACTACTGTAATCCTAGCTGCTCAGAAAACTGAGATCTGAGGATCATGGTTCAAAGCCAGCCCAGGTAGGATCTATGAAACTCTTATCTCCTATAAACTATAAGGAAGCCAGAAGTGGAACTGTGGCTCAAGTGCTAGAGTGCTTGCCTTGAGCAAAAAAAGCTCAAGGACAGCGCCTAGGACCTGAATTCAAGCCCCTGGATGGGCCTCTGTTGATCCGTTTTGAACAAGCCAGATATACCAATGCCCTAATGTAGAAAATCCAATGGAAGTTTCCCTATGTTTCTTTTTTTTGGGTGGGGGGTCCGGTTGTGGGGCCTGAACTCTGGGCCTGGGTGCTGTCCCTCAGCTCTTCAGCTCAAGGCTAGCACTCTACCACTTGAGCCACAGTGCCACTTTCGGCTTTTTTTTCTGCTTATCTGGTGCTGAGGAATCTAATCCAGGGCCTCATGCATGCAAGGCAAGCGCTCTACCACTGAGCCACCTTCCCAGCCCTCCCTATGTTTCTTAACACAATGTCTAACATTTAGTAAAGGAAGGAGACTATTTTTTTTTAATCTGTGGGGCTTGAACTCTGGGCCTGGGTGCTGTTCCACATGTGCCAAAGCCCCACTTCCAGTTTTCTGGTGGTTTAGTGGAGATAAGAGTCTCATGGACTTAACTGCCTGGGCTGGCTTAGAACATCAGATCTTAATCTCTTTAGTAGCAGTGCCCAGCTGAAAGAGAATATTCTCTTTCTTCTTCTTCTTCTTCTTTTTTTTTTTTTTTTGTCGGCCGTGGGGCTTGAACTCTGGGCCTGGGCACTGTCCCTCAGCTCTTCCGCTCAAAGCGAGTGCTCTACCATTTGAGCCACAGCACCACTTCGTTTTCTGGTGGTTTATTGGATATAAGAGTTTCACGGCCTTTCCTGTCAGGGCTGGCTTTGAACTCCAATCCTCAAATCTCAGCCTCCTGAGTAGCCAGGATTAGAGGTGTGGACCACCGTCACCCAGCTTGAGATTTTTCTAAGTAAGATTTCTAAAATTTTCTGAAAAATTTGGCCCTTGATACTATTACAAGAGTTTAATGCACTCAAAACTCTTGGATATCCATTCTACACTGAGAGAGGAAGAAGTGGTTTTCTATTCATCATACAGCTTTCACATGTCTCCTGTTTCTATAGTCTACTATCCTATTGCAGACATGAGAATTTCTAAGATGTTTGGCCATCATGTGCCTATTGATTTATATAGCTGCTGGACTGGTAAGGTGGCTCAGTGGAAGAGCACTTGCCTAGCATGCATGAGACCCTGGGTTTGATTCCTCAACACCACATAAGCAAAAAGAAAAAAGCCGGAAGTGGTGCGGTGGCTCAAGTGGTAGAGTGCTAGCCTTGAGCTGAAGAGCTGAGGGATAGCGCCCAGGCCCAGAGTTCAGGCCCATGACCGTACCCATAAATAAATAAATAAATAAATGATTTATATAGCTGCTGCATAGAAATTTTCATATGTGTATGAAAATCTTATTTTTATTGTTAAATGTATTTCACTGAATAGATGTTTCTATTCCGATATACATCTGTTTACCATGCCTGTAAACCAAGCACTTAGAAAGCTGAAACAGGAGAATCAGCTCAAGTTTGAGACAAACTTAAGATACAAATAATGAGAAGAAAAAAAATAACAAAAGGGGAAGGGATGGAGGGACAAAGGGAAAAAAGGAAAAGGAAGGAAGGGAGGGAAGGGAAAGAAGGAAAATATGAAGGGAGATAGGGGAGTAAGGGAAGGGAAAATAGGGAAGAGAAGGCGAAAAATAAACTGTTAGAATAAACCATCTGACAAATGGAGAGAGGAATGATGGGTGAATACAATCATAGAACTCAATACACATATGTGAAGAATAGAATCGGGATGGGTGGGGTTGGGATAGATGAGGGAGAGTGACAGAAGGGCTGATGATTGGTTGAGATGTACTCTAATATGTTGAACTGCAACTGTTTTGTCCAAATACTTAAAGATAATAATAATTTTTAAAAGGTTGATCCATTTGCTAATTTCTCATTCATTCTGGAGAATTAAGCATCTGCCTCCAATATGGCTTAAAAAAGGAAGGTGAGGGTTAATATAAAATTTCAACCATATAAAAAATTATCAAAGCTGGGCTGGGAAGGTGGTTCAGTGGTAGAGCACTTGCCTTGCATGCCTGAGGCCCTGGGTTCAATTCCTCAGCTCCACATAAGCAAAAAGAAAAAAGCCGGAAGTGGTGCTGTGGCTCAAGTGGTAGACTGCTAGCCTTGAGCTGAAGAGCTGAGGGACAGCACCACGACTGGACCCCCCCCCAAAGAATAAAATAAAATGATTATCAAAGCTATCCAACATAATTTAAAATCTACTAGAATGACCAAAATGACCAAAAACTCCCAGCAATTACAAACACGATTTATTTAATACAAAATATATGAGGCTAACATTCTATCATCTCTGATTTTAAGCAGTGAGCTCCACAGCAAAGTTTGCTTAAATCAAGTGTTGTGTTCCCGTATCACCGTGTTCTAGATAACGTCTTCCAGGATTATCAACTGAGCAGGGGTTTTTGGTTTATGTTTTGGTTCTACTTTTCTGTTTGTGGTACTGAGAATGAGAGCCACGGCCTTGCACGTGCTAGACAAGCTGTCCTCAGAGTTGCACACTCAGCTGAATCAGTTTTCAAGTGAAGGATAGGATGCATCAGGGAGGTAGCATTTTCTACTGGAAAATTTCACCTAAACTGTGGACTTGGCCACAGGCTTCTGTGAGAATGAAGGGCTTCAAGGCATTGAGATAACAACGGTTGTTCCTTATTTCAGGAAGCTGGAGACAACAACCAGTTCTGCTGGAGGAATCTCTTTTCCTGCATCAATCTCCTGAGGTTGCTCAATAAGCTGACCAAATGGAAGCATTCCAGGACCATGGTAAGTGGGGCCTCAAATCATTGAGGTGTTCATCTGACTGAATATTTTAAGTCATTAGTAAATATTTATAGACTAGCTACTTTGAAAGATCTGTAAATAGACACAGAGCTACATTTCAGCACTTCCTGATCCTGCCACATTCTACTGTGATTACATACCAAGCCATTTCTTTTCAGGAAGGTGACTAGGGGCCCACCCTTAAGGTAGCGCTGACAGGGAAGTTAGCCAGGTTTGGTATTAGAGTCACACATCCCTGGTGACGCAAGTCCCAGACTTCATTTCAGCAGTTGGTAATAATGAAGGACTGGGAACAACCTAAATGCCATTCACACAGAACTAACTTGTTAAGTAAATGATGGCACATCTTTATAGAATATCATATAACCATTCAAAAGAATGAAGCATTTCTGAATTGGTATGGAATAATTCTCAAGATACATCATTAGGTGAAAAGCAAAATGTGGAACAGTATAACAAGATACATAGTTGGTTGTCATCATACACAAAGAGTATTCACAAGAAACTGAAACAATGAAAATGTGTGACATAGAAAACTTCATTGATTTTATACCATACATTTTGAATATTAGAAACTTTGAATGAAATAATTCTGTATTGTTTTCCTTTTTTTTTCTTCTTTGGTGTGTGTACGTGTGTGTGTGTGTGTGTGTGTGTGTGTGTGTGTGTGTGTGTGTGCCTATCCTGGGGCTTGAGCTCAGGCTTTATGCTCTTGCTCAGCTCTTTTGCCCACAAATGGTACTCTACCACTTGAGTCATGCCTCCCATTTCCAGCTTTTTGTTGGTTAGACATTTCTGCCTGGGTTGGCTCATCAGATTCCAGCCTCCTGAGTAGCTAGGATTATAAGAGTAAGCCACAGGCACTTGACTTTTTGGTGTTTTTTTTTTCCTGTCCTGGGGCTTGAACTCAGGGCCTGGGCTCTATCTCTGAGCCTCTCTGTGCTCAAGGCTAGCACTCTACCTCTTAAGCCATAGCACCACTTCTGGCCTTTTCTGTTTATGTGGTACTGAGGAATCGAATCCAGGGCTCAATGCATGTTAGGCAAGCACTCTACCTCTAAGCCACATTCCCAGCTCCAACTTTTTTAAAAAATTAAAACAAGGCAGAGCTGGGGAGGTAGCTCAGCGGTAGAATGCATGCCTTGCAAGCATGAGGCCCTGGGTTCAATACCTCAGCACCACATAAACAGAAAAAGCCGGAAGTGGCACTGTGGCTCCAGTGGTAGAGCACTAGCCTTGAGCTGAAGAGCTGAGGGACAGCGCCCAGACCCACAGTTCAGGCCCCATGACTGGCAAAAAAAAAATTAAAAAATTAAAACAAGGCTTCTCATTTTGTAGCCCAAGCTAGTCTCGAACTCCTGACTTAATTCCTCTAAATTCTTTTGTTTTTGTTTTTTGGGTCCAGTCATGGGGCCTGCACTCTGGGCCTGGGCGCTGTCCCTCAGCTCTTCAGCTCAAGGCTAGCACTCAACCACTTGAGCCACAGCGCCACTTCCGGCTTTTTTCTTTTTGCTTATGTGGTGCTGAGGTGCCTCTGGCATGCAAGGCAAGCGCTCTACCACTGAGCCACCTTCCCAGCTCTCCTCTAAATTCTTAAAGATTACATCTAAATAGAGCCTTGACATTAGATTCTCAGGAGGTCCCTAGATAGTTCTAGACATGTGTGTGTGTTAGAAATCACAAGAAAATTTACATCTTGATGGTTCTTTCTTCATTTCTATCCTCATTTTCATTGAACAAGATGCTGGTGGTGTTTAAATCAGCTCCAATCTTAAAGCGGGCACTCAAAGTCAAACAGGCCATGCTGCAGCTGTATGTCTTGAAACTGCTAAAGATTCAGACCAAGTACCTGGGACGCCAGTGGAGGAAGAGCAATATGAAAACCATGTCAGCCATTTATCAGAAAGTGCGCCACCGCATGAATGATGACTGGGCTTATGGGAATGGTGAGTACTTTCAAGGTGCTTAACTTCCAGGAATTTTCCAGAGTTCAAACAGAACTAAACATTTATCTCTAAATTTGAGCATGAATTGTTACATATTTTACATGAGAAAGTATTTGGCTATAGGTCAGGTGCTGATACACAAAACTTGAATTCTAACATGTACTCTGTCTTGTATAAGCTATGAAAACTCATTTTATACAGTAAATAAAACTAGAAGAAGCTGGTCATTGGTGGCTCATGCCTGTAATCCTAGCTATTCAGGAGGCTGAGAGCTAAGGCTCACAGTTTGAAGCCAGACAGGGCAGGAAAGATTGTGAGATTCTTATCTCCAATAATTACCAAAAATCCAGAAGTAGAGCTGTGGGTTCAAGTGGTAGAGCACTAGGCTTTGAGCAAAAGCAGCTCAGTGACAGTACCAGGCACTGAATTCAAGTCCTGGTACAGGCATGTATGTACACACAAAAAAAAGCTAGAAGGAAGGATATTGAGTATTTTTACCACAAAGAAATAATAAATCAGGGAACTGAATGGACCTGGAATAAAATCATATTTAATATAGAAAGTCAGGCTCAAAAAAGCAAAGGACATATGCTTTCTTTCACATGTGGATCTTTAACAAAGTAGAGTCATATGTGAAAATACGTTTTCAGCACATGCTTATATAGACAATCAAACTGGCTTAAAGGATGATATACAAACAAGTGAATTTCCATAGTGTAAACCATTTGAACAATTAACAGACAGTTTAACAAAATGAATATCAGAGCCAGGTGCTGGTGGCTCAAGCCTGTAATCCTAATTACTCGGGAGGCTGAGATCTGAGAATCCAGGTTTGAAGCCAGCAGGGGCAGAAAAATCCACGAGACTCTTATTTCCAGTAAACTACTCAGAAAAAGCTGAAGTGGCACTGTGGCTCAAGTGGTAGAGCACTAACTAGCCTTGGAAAAAAATAAGCTCAAGGACAACACCCAGGCCCAGAGTTCAAGCCCCAGGACCAACCAAAAAAAAAAAAAAAAGAATATCAAGAAGCTGAAATGTGTCTTTTCTGAGTGGGGTAGAGGATAAAAAGAGGAAGGCAAAGTTGGGTGCCTGCAGCTCATGCCTGTAATCCTGACTATTGAGGAGACTGAGGTCTGAGGATCATGATTTGGTTTGGAGACAGTCTAGGCAGGAAAGACACTTATCATCAATGAATCACAAAAAAAGTCAGAAGTGGCTCAAGTGTTAGAGCCCCAACCTTGCAAAAGTTCAGGGACAGCACCCAGGCCCTGAGTTAAAGCCCTAGGATGAGCAGCAAGGAAGGGTGGGTAAATACAGTCATAATACTCAGTGTATATGTGTGAAAATGGAGCGAGGAAACAAGATGATTGTTTGAGATAGATGGATTGGAAAATGATGCAAGGTATGGGGCTCAGATCAAAATGCATTATGCTCAGGCTGGGAAGGTGGCTCAGTGGTAGAGCGCTTGCCTTGCATGCTTGAGGCCCTGGGTTCGATTCCTCAGCACCACATAAGCAAAAAGAAAAAAGCCGGA